TTCTACTTACCTGAAAGTCACTAAGGTGTGGAAGGCGTGGTACAGGGTAAACTGCAGGCCGCACTGTGGCACGGTGGACAAGAGGCACAGGCTGCAGTGGTGTGCACAGTGGATGAGAGAAAAGAGGAGACTTCCATCCTCGAGGGAAACACACAACAATTTAAAAAACTGATCATCTAGCTTACATGAGGTCCAACAAATTCAGTTTGCAAAGTTTAACTTCCAAGTTAATTTAGTAATTTTTCCCCTAAGTCATTAATTTAGTAGCTTACGTTTAAATATATTTCTTTTGTCTAAAGCAAGTCATAAATTCTAAAATGAATGACTAAACATGTAACAATTTAGGCATACAGCACCTGAAGGCAAAACCGCCAGTATGCTAAAACATTGGACATAGATGCTTTAAAAATATAATGTAGCATTCTTGCAGTGCATGTGCTGTTAGCATGTAACTTGGTGAGTAGTTTTGAGCTATGTTTGTAGGAATGTGTATCTTGAATACTTCAGGGCATCACTGCAGATGTGTGCGTGAGATGTATAAATACTGAATGTTCTTCTCCCTTCCCTTAAATGAAAAGCATTAGCTCCCTTTTATTTTATTTTATTTTAATTTTATTTTTTTGCAGTGGACTCTTGCTCTTGTTGCCCAGACTGGAGTGCAGTGGCACAATCTCAGCCCACTGCAACTTCTGCTTCCCGGGTTGAAGTGATTCTCCTGTCTCGGCCGCCTGAGTAGCTGGGATTACAGGGACCTGCCACCATGCCCGGATAATTCTTGTATTTTTATTAGAGATGGGGTTTTGCCATATTGGCCAGGCTGGTCTCAAACTCCTGACCTCAGGTGATCTGTCCACCCCGACCCCCCAAAGTGCTGGGATTACAGGCGTGAGCCACTGTGCCCGGCCAGCTCCCTTCAGTAATGATTTATACGGTTGTTTTTGCTTTTTGTTTTTTTGAGACGGGGTCTCACTCTGTCGCCCAAGCTGGAGTGCAGTGACGCAAATCTTGGCTGACTGCAGCCTTCACCTCCTGGGCTCAGGTGATCCTCCCACCTCAGCATCCTGAGTAGCTGGGAATAGACACATGTCACCATGACCAGCTAATTTTTTTTTTTTTTTTGTATTTTTAGTAGAGACTGGGTTTTGCCATGTTTTCCAGTCTGGTCTTGAGCTCCTGGGCTCAAGCGATCTGCCCACCTCGGCCTCCCAAACTGCTAGGATTACAGGCGTGAGCACCACATCTGGCCCATTTTTTTTTTTTTTTTCCCTTACAGGATTAGAAGTCGACTTTCGGAAAACTCTTCAACCTTGTAAACTTGATTTTCTACAATAATATGCCTCTAGGATTAAAACAAGATGGAAACAAAGAAGTATGTGTGGACTGCAGTTAAAAGTTTTCAACACAACATAGGAGAGTTGACATTTACAAAGAGCAGGAGGCCCGTTCAGTGCCTTCTAGGCATTGGGAACGGCGGTCTGTGGGCGACCCTAACGTGTGCGGTGTCCTGAGACGTGATCGTGGTGCTCATGCTTTTACCGAGGGCCTCCCGGGAGTACCAGAGGCTCTTCTCCTGCAGTCGGCCAGCCGGGCAGCAGCTGCTGGAGAAGGAACAAACAGTAAAAGACAGATGTACACGGTGTTATTATGGCAGAGAGGTTAAAACCAGGCTCACTTTGTTCTCTCACTTTGTTCTTACAGTTTTAAAAAAACTAATAACGAAGTCCTTAAATATGTATTGCGTTTCAGGATTTTCAAGTAGTTGTGGCTGTGTCTGTCTCTCTCTCGCTCCCGTTCGGGTGCTCCCTGCGAAGAGAGCTCAGAGAGGCCACCTTTCCTTGTTGAGGTGACAGGGCCTGGAGAGGTGTGAACCCTGAGGTGGGGGGTTGACTGACTGGGGGGAGGCTGGGTCAGCGTGGGGATCCACCCCCACTCCACGTTCCTGTAGGGAATCCACAGTTCTAAGTCTTTGTGATATGGGTAAAATGAACCTGGAAGAGGTGTTATTTTTTCAGAAGTAAGTGCCATGCTATTTTTTCCTCATACTTCTCCGTGTTTAAGCAGCATTGAAAGATAAGGCACTAGTAGCATGTTGGTTTGGAAACAATCTTGTTGATTATTTTAAGTTGAATCTGATATTAAGGTTGTCTGGTAACAGAAGTTTTCCTTTAACAAATGGAACTCTGTTGAATCTGTTGCCCCATTGGCTGAGCCGTCTGAAGTCAGTGCGGTGGCACCTGAAGAGTCGGCTTCCCCTTGGAGGAAGCCGCTGGATTGGCAAGAGGCACCGTCCTTGATTGAGGGAGTGAGGCGCCTTTGCAGGGACCCCACTGCGGTTCTCTCCTGCCCCTGCAGCTCTCTTCTGCCCCCTGCTGGCTGGCCAAGCAGATACGCGACAGTGTGCTCAGCGTGAATGTTCACGGGGTAGGCCGAGGCTTTTGTTCCAGAAACATTGACTTCAGAAATGGCCGGCAGTGTGTGTTGAGCATGGCAAGAAAGACTTACGTGTGTCTTAAACCTCTTGAACAAAGCAAGTTGATGTTTCAAATGTATCTCGAAGGCTAATGACTTTGCTATGGTCAATATTCAGGAGAAAATAGGGTTTGATGAAATAGATAGGAGTGGCAAGTGAGGTGCTTGTGCCCCGTATGACTAAGCGATGTCCTGGCCGTTCCACACCACGGCCTCTGAGCAGCCAGCGTGCAGATACTGGATCAATTTAGATGGGACTCCTGGAGCTGTCAGCCGCCCGGGAGAAGCACGAGGAGTTCTGTGTGCCCATGGTCATGGTTCCCGCTACTGTGTCCAACAACGTGCCGGGTTCCGATTTCAGCATCGGGGCAGACACAGCCCTGAACACTATCACCGACGTAAGTCCGTGTGCGCCCCGCCAGGTGGCGCTGGCTGACTCTAACCTGTGGGCCCCCGCCCTTTTTATCTACCGAGCGCTAGAAACAGCCTTTTACAAATATCCTGAATGAGAGCTTCTCGTTATTTCGCCGCCCTCCCCCCCCCACGAAAAGTAGGATTTTAGACTCTGAACATTTTTGATCTCACTCCCAAAAAGTTTTATCGCCTCTTCTTCTGTGTGGCCACCGGCGGGGACGTAGCGTGGCCAAGACCCCGGGAGTGCCCGTGAGTACCTACAGCGCTGAGGAGGGCTGGGCTGCAGTCTCCTGTGATTGCACCAGCATTAAAATCTGCTTTTTAAAAATTATTATTAATGCTGAGCCTAAATTTTCTTTGAGCCTCCAATACCCATTATGATGAACCCCTGCCTTGATGCTGAGGGTAGAAATTGAACTGAATATTTTGTAATTGTAGTCATTGTCCTGAACGCACCATTGCATTTGTTTTCTCTTTGGTCTTGGCTGTTGACCTCATTTTCCCCTTTGTAAAGTGGGGATGTTAAATTACATCTAAGGCAATATTGGGGCTAATTTTTTTGCCAAAAGACAATAATAAAACATAGAAATATATTCTTCTGTTTTTTGTTTTGTTTTGCTTTGTTTTCTTTGTTTTACTTTTCTTTGTGAGACAAGGTCTTACTCTGTCACCCAGGCTTGAGTGCAGTGGTGTGATCTCGGCTCACTGCAGCCTCGACCTCCTGGGCTCAGGTGATCCTCCCACCTCAGCCTCTCGAGTACCTGGGACCGCAGGCACGTGCCGCCATTTCCGGCTACAAGAAATACACGCCTACCCCACGTTTGTGTGTCACACTTGGTGATTCACGTGAGAGTCTGAAGATCCATACCTAATGCAGGAAGTATTTCATTTTTTAAAAATTTGATGTCTAAAATTTTTCACTAATTCTCAAGTTTTAATTTTTCTTGTGCGACTTAGTTCTCACGAATATTTTTCAAAGTTTTCTATTTTGTTTTTGTTTTTTGTAAACCCTTGGCATGAAACTTGTTTCTAGCGCTGGTAAATAAAAAAACAAGCTTTTAACATACAGCTCATACGGTAAGTAATGCTTAGCAGTCGTTTCTTGCTTTTCTGAGCGTCTTAAACTTTCTTCACTTCCTTTGTGAAGGAAACCTGTCCAGGTTTTCCCGTGTTCACTGGCTTTGGGGGCAACGTTCACCTTATTTTTGGCAGTCACTAATCTCTGACCTAGATGTTGCTTCTGCTCTGCTCTGCTGGTGATGGGCGTCACGGCTTTGCTGCTGCAGGGCTGGCCTGGCTCTGGGCTTACCTTCGTGCTGGGAATGTGAACATGAGTGTGTTTCACAGAGAGGATTCCAGCATGGCTTTCACTGCTCTTTCACCTGCTTTAGCTGGATTTTTGGGTCTGTGAAAGTTGGGTGTGCAATGGGAGGATTGAAGCTTCTTTTTCCCTAATTGTTACCTAATTGGAACTTACCCAGAGGGAATGGGTGGAGAATTTGAGAGCAGTCACTGCAGTTAGATGAGCATCTGAAGATGTGGGACAAAGCTGGTGTTGATCACCCTGTGACTTTTTTATTTTCAAGTTTCCACACAAAGCATAGATCCTTGTGGTGTGTGATGTACACTTTCAGGCAGGAAGAAAATCTCTCTTTAATTCCAGGGTCCTCTGCTATAAATAACTTTTTTTTTTCAGATTGTAAATATGTAACAAACGTGTAGGGTCAAAATTTGAAAACCAAAATACGTGAGGCAAACATCCCGCAAATGATCAGTTCCACCCGCTTTGACTTCCCTTGGAGGTACTGTGTGATTTATTATGCGATTGTTTTAAATTCAGTTTTTCATTCATTCCAGTTTCTCAAAGCTAGGTTAAACAATTTCATTTTCTTTTTTTTTTTTTTTTTTTTTTTTTGACAGGGCCTCTGTTTCCCGGGCTGGAGCGCAGTGGTGCAATCACGATTGACTGCAGCCTCGACCTCCCAGGCTTAGGCGATCCTCCCACCTCAGCTTCCTGAGTAGCTGGGACTACACGTGCTTGCCACCGTGCGTGGCTAATTTTTTGTATTTCTACAGAGACGAGGTCTCCCTGTGTTGCCCAGGCTGGTCTCAAACTTCTGGGCTCAAGCAGTCTCCCCGTCTTGGCCTCTCAAAGCCACGGGGGTTATAGGGATGAGCCACCGTGCTGGGCCTTAAGTTAACGGATTACAATAGAGAAAGAACTGGAGTGTGTAGTTCGTTGAGCCTCCCGTTGGCCAGGCACAGCCACCTTGGTAAGTGTATGTGTGTGTCCTCATTGCCCTTCTGATCCCGAGCTCCGAGGAATGAGGCTGTCTTGGGAGTGCCGTGGTTCTAGCCTCGTGATGGGTGAGTGACGCCGGCTGATTGAGGTCACCCTGGCGAATGCTGCAGCTGCTCGGGAGCCGGGGCAGGGACGAGAAAGCCGCTGAGGATCCCTCTGTGGACCCCTGAAGGGAGAGGGGTCGAGATGTGAACATGGCAGCTGTTTTCTCCAGAGCCCTGTTTACTGATGGCCAAACAGGGTGAATCCTGAGAAGGTTTGGATTTGGGTCTGAACTGGGCTCGCCTGGCTGTAGAACACAGGAGCTGGTGGCGAACTCAGGAAATGAGGGCGTGAGGCGACTTGACGTGGATGGCTCCGGGTCCCTCCAGCCACTGTCCTGAAGCCGTCGGAGCCTGAGGATGTGTGGGAGTGAGCGTCTCTTTCCTGTCTGGCCAACACCCTCTGTGACCCGTGACTCATGGCCCGGCCCTGGGCAGCATTTATGTTTGAGGTCTGTGGATGGCTCCAGTTGTTCAGTAAATTTGGTGATTCTCATTGGGGTGATTGTGCCCCAGGGAATGTTTGCGCCATCCAGGGAGGTTTCTGGTTAGAACTGGGAGAAGGGATGCTCCCAGCACCTGGGACTGGGGACAAGGGACGCTGCGAAAAGTCCCTCCAAGCACAGGGCGGGCTCCATAGCAGGAGTCTGGCTCAGGACGTGGCCATGTTGTGCTTCAGAAGCCCTGGGCGGATCTGATGTGGTGAAGTCGTCATCGTCACTCGTGATTTCCTTCTTGCCAGCATTGATGCTTAGCTGACGCCACAGCCCCTCAGAATCTATGCGGCGCTGGTGAGTGGGTCTTTCTGGCAAAACAGAATGAATGAAATACCTCAGAGCAGGTGTTACACATTCTCAGGATATGGCTGCAGGGAGTTTCGGTTGGACTCCTTTCACTCCTTAGTGCTGGCTGGTGCATTACTCTGTCCTGTAAGCTTGATCAGGTCACATCAGAAACAGTAGGTGCGTGCCACGCTGCTGTCAGGTTTCGCGAAGGTGGCGGTGACTACAGCCTTGTGAGTAATTCCTTGTCATAGTGGCCCCACTAAGGACCCAGGGGCCCGGCTGTGTTTGGTCTTGAGAGCTTTATGCTTTTCTGGGCAGGGTCTCTCCCCATCTTGAAGTCTTCCCTCCCCTTTTTTGGAGACTAAAGGAAGGAAAAGAGGAGCGACAGGGAAGAGGGGAGAGAGGATTTGCAGCAATGTGGCCATTCCCACAGATTTCAAGGCGAGTTAAGGAGCCGAGACACCCCCACCTGCCCTCTTGTGTGCCTCAGGGCCCTCCTGGCCCCAGGTCACCCACACCCTCTGGCTTCCAGCGAGAGCTTCTTGGAGAAGCAGCCAGCTCCCCGCGGCCAGTCTTGGTTAGTCCTGGGCTAGAGTATTCCACAGTAAAGGAGTGACATCACCTGTCTGAAGAGCATAAGGAGCCCCCCACGTGGTGGTGCTGACAGGGCCACATCCTGGGCACCAGGCCAGCCAATATCCCCAGATGAGTGTTTCTGGCTTGGAAGCAGGCTGGCATTTGGATTGAAGTCCTGCAAAAACTGCCATGGCCAGAGCCTGCAAGGCAGAGCCTGTACAGAGCAGCCCAAGAGCTGGGCATGTGCTGGGTCTGGGTGGACGTGGAGTACATGCCATGGGGCACAGGGGCCCCTGCTCACAGCTCACCTCGTGGTCACCCAGCACTGACCCACCCATCTTACCCTGCTACCCACCATGCTGTGAACTCACCTGCCACGGATCTGCACCCACTGTCCGAAGCCCTCGGCCCACACGGGCTCCTGGCCTTGGGATGCTTTGGGTTGCACCAGGGCTGCAGAGCCTGGCTCTCTCACTGTCCAACTCTCCTGGGGAGATGTGGGCCCGCCTTGCATCCCAACAGTAGCATTTCTGCAGCAGACGTGGGGATATTCACAGTAAGAGGGACACGTCCAAGTCCATAAATAGTTGATTTTGCCACCAAGTGGATGACAAAAACACCTTGCTGTGTGGGGCCGCTTGGAGCTGGGAACAGTGGGCGTGTGGACCTGTCCTGCTGTTACCTTGGTTAACACCCTGAGGTGGAGCCTGAAAAAGCCCGGTGTACACGGCTCAAGAACCGCTCCCCTTTCTGACACCAGAGCCCATTTCCCAGTGGAACCTCAGAGCAGCAACTCAGGTTCTTGCTCGCCTGTGTGGCTTTGCGTGTGACTTCCAGCCGGAGAGCAGAGATGTGGCTGGGGCTGAGTGTGGCCCACCGGTAATCCAGCTGCCGCCTCCTTCCCTGCCTGCGCGTGGAGGCTGCCTCTGCACGATGAAGGCAGTCACTTAGTGTGGTCCTTACAGCTGTGTGCCCCATCCCACTGATCGTGGACTGCCTACAGAAAGCTACAGGGACTGGCTTTGCCTTCAAACGTCCTGACTGCCCTGGCCTCGCTTACCCACGATGAGATGCCGAGAGCTGAGCTGTCCCGCTCGTGACTAACTTGCCGCTGCCTGCAAGCTGCTCTGTTGCCGGCCTCACACCCACCCTGCTGTGCTGCCTGCACGCCTCCCCTTTCAGAGGACCTGGGCTGTGCCCAGGCAGTCCCCTGTGTTGCTAAGGCCTGTCCTGCTCCCACATGGCCTCCAGAGCTCCCCTTGGTCCCCTGACCCACATGAACCGGCTTCCCCTGATGACTCAGGTCCCTGCTGTCCCTTCCTGGACCTCAGTGGAGGCCCTGGGGCTGGCAGGTGAGCACCCAGCACCCCGCTAACTGCTTGGCCCTGCTGCTTCAGGCTTACAAGAGCACGTGCGACATGGCTGAGGCGCAAGGCCACCACCGGGAGCTTTGCATCCCCCTGTGTGTGGTGCCGGCCACGATTAACAACAATGTCCCAGGCACAGAAATAAGCCTGGGCACCGACACTGGCCTGACTGCTGTTGTCCAGGTAAGAGAACCCCGTTTCCTCCCATTGCTTTCTTTATTTTTAGCAATTTGTTTCTTCTGTGCTAAGAATGAGCCAGATTTATTATTACTCTTCCCCCCCCCCCCCTTTGTTAGCTTGGCTTTATGTCAGTCACACTGGCCAGAACAGGGTAAATTTTTTAGCTTCTCTGCCTTAGGGAGAACCTGTCTTTATTGATTAAAAGTGAGATGATATATCCAGTCCTTGGGGTCGTGTTTCTATCCCACCTAGACTAGGGGAGTTTTGAGCACCATTTCTCTGGAGCCGGCCTCTCCGCCTGCGTTGAGTAGCGAGGCTGCAGGGCCAGCTGTGGGAGCCTGCAGGAAGGGGTTTGAGTGCCTGGTACGTACGAGTCTGGGACAGAGCTGTGCCCACTGGGGGCCGCTGCCTGGAACCACAGCCTTCCTGGTGAGATGAGAGGATCTTTAAAGAGCCGAGATCATGCCCTCCTGGGCAGGCAGTTTCACCAACATGTGCTTTGGGAGGAGTGGATTCTGCCGGTCATGGGCGTGGTGCTGACACCCGCATGGTGGCCCCTCCAGTCCCTGATAAGCTGACCCACCTCTATGGTCATGAGCTGGACATGAGGACCTGTGGGAGTTCCACAGGCCTTTGCTGCAGAGAGGGTCCTCACTCGGCTGCAGACAGGACAGTGGCCACCTTGGCATGTGGGGTCATGTCAGTGGATTGGCCGCCGGGTGTCTCCTGGAGAGCAGCCGCTGGCCTTTAGCTTCGATGTTCACGTGAAACCAGCTCCGGAGTTTGCGGTGAAAACTCCCAGCCCTGTTGGAGACTCCTTAGTTCAGCTTGGCACAGAACCTCGGAAAACAGCAGTTCTGTTCTGGGTTCTTCCTTCAGAACTGAGTTCCAGTGCAGGGAAGGGAGCCGGAGGGGTCGTGAGGTCGGCTGCAGCCTCCTGTGCCTCCCACTCGAGTTGAGGGCCATCTCTCTCCTGGGCTTCTCCCTGTCGCCTTCCCTGGTGCTGTGCTGGCCTCGCAGAGGCTGGCCTTGGCTCGTTCCCTGGACTTTCTTGGGCCCCCGCGCTTGACCCCTGTTCACTGAATGCCATTAGGGTCCAGCCATCGCTGGCTTCGCTCTCCTTTAGCACCTTGTAGATGTCCACATATGCTTCCACCCTCGCACCCGGCACGCAGCGCAGCACTACCCCGGCCAGCGGCTGTGCTTTGCTGCAGGTCCCTTGCTGTAGCAGGGATGGGAGCCCCAACCCCTGCCCCGTCTGGCCACCGACTTCAGCAGAGGCTCGGCTGCTGTGAAGGATACCAGTCATGGGAAAACTGGCCTCCCTGCAGATTCACAGAGCAAGGTGGTTCTCACAGAGAAGTCAGTGGCTTTTTTCTACCTTAACACTGTAGCAAACGCCACCTTATCTTTCACCACCAATTTATATTTCTTAACACCCATGGAGCAAAGTGCTGGTGATGTTTGAACTGTAGCCTGGGGCTCTCGCTCCCATGGGACTCCTTGGGGAATTTCCTAGCAGGATCGTGTGTGTGCCCTTGCAGGGGGTTGTGTCTGCTGGGCACATCCCATTGTGTGGCAAGAATGGCTGAGGTCACAGGCTCTGCCTGACGAGTGCCACTCACAACTGCTGTCCACGCAGGGCCACGCTTGGGATTGGCCGCCTTCTTGTCAGTGCTACTTTGACTAATTGCCTGAGGCACGGCCGGAGTGACTTGCTATTTTTAGAAGCTAATTCAGGCTTCAGATGCCATCTAGGTAATGAGGAGAGTGTTCAGGAAAGCTGTATCTAAGCTCCAGCAACGGCAGACTCTTCCGTCCCAGCTGTCACTGCATTTACACTCAGAGGAGCACACGGTTGGGGGCATGGCTCAGCTGTCAGGGCTCCACTGTTCCACACACCCACAGCTGCAGCCTGGCGGGACCAGAACTCAGACACGTTTGGGCACAAATCAGCCTCTTGGGAGAGCTGCTTTGCCTGCAGAATTCTTTTGCCATTAAGCAGCTGTCATTCTTTGAATGAGTGACAGTAATTCCCCACCTCAGGGTGGGCTGTGGGGGAGATTCAGTTGGAAAAATAACCCATGAGGCTTTGTGCCTCTGGAGGTCCTGATGCCCCACCCACATTTTCCTTCCCATGCCCGGGATACTCTAAGACAAAGGGCAAATCTGAAAGCCTTACTGCATCTTAAGTCTTAGATCACAATGAGAGAGAGACCCAGTACAGGTGGAAAAGTGAAACCCTCAGAATTCTGCACTGGCCCTTCAAGAAGGCAGTTACAGGTTCTTTGGACCCTTGACGGGTTTCTGTCCTCTGTCCTTCCTAAGCACAAAGACGGGAATTCTTCCCATTGCCTGTTTCTCTCCCCATCTCGGCTTCTACACAATGCAAAGTGGCCCTCTAACTAGAGCCCGTGTTCAGTTTTGAATACATCAACCAATTATTTTGGGAGGAAAAGAATCTTCCAGAGAAACGAAGTATAGGTTGGAATGGTTTAATCAAGCCTGTGTTTATTCAACAAAGTGTGCTTTGAAATTTCATTCGAAGTACTCAAGTGAAAATTTCCCGTGGGTGTTAAACTTTAGTGAACAGACTCTCATGTGGCTCCTAGTCTCAAGCCCACACCCCCACTTCATCCTTTTACTCTTGGCTGAGTCCCACGGAGGCCGGTTAGGGAATCCTGCAGGATCAGCCCTTGACCCAATGGACGGACGGACGGCTGGATAGACGGACAGTGGCTGGCTGGCTGGGGAATACTGTGCTTGTGTCATTCAGAGACAAGCATTTCTTGAGCGCCTTCTGTGGGGGGCTCGGCTGGGTCCTGCTGATGGTGCAGTGGTGTAAGCCCAGCCCACGGTTCCTGCCCTCATGGAATGTGCAGCCTAGTGAGGACTGCAAGTCACATAACCACGAGGTAACTGCAGGGGGAGACACCGGGGTGATTTCTATGAAGAGAGGACATGGGGTGCCCCGAGAGCCCCTGACAGAGGGAACTTTGTGGTCCTAGAAACCAGGTGACGTTTTCCTAAGGAAATGGCATTTCCCTCTGGGTCAGAGCTGAGGAAGGTGCCTGTGTGTGTCCGTGGCCGCTGTGACCCTGACCACACACCTGGGGCTGGAAAATAATCGTCACTCTCCCACAGCTCTGGAGGGCGGGAGCCATGGGCTGAGGCCAGAGTGTGTGCTCCAGGAGAGTCCCTCGTGGCCCATTCAGGTGTCCAGAGCCCCGGGCCTTGCACGCCTTGTTCCCTGGCACCGCCTCCTCCCATGTGGGTGTGCAGCATCCTACTCCAGGGCCTCTGCACCCCTCATCTGCCGATGCAGGTGGTGGCACTTAGGGCCCACCTGGGTAGTCCTCAGGATTCACCTTTATCACCGCATGAGGGAACATTCCCAGGTTCCAGGCATTAGGACCGGGATTCCTTTGGGGGCTGCTCTCCCGCCCACCACTGTGCCTGAATATGATGCACATAGCGGCCAGCATATGCAGAGGCCCCAGGAGGACCTGGGGTGGCTGGAGCTAGAGCCGGACCTGGTGTCAGAAGTGGGCGGGGCCAGGGATTCCAGAGAAAGGCTTAACGTGTACTTGAAGTGAGCAAAGGGTTTTGAATGAACCAAGAACTGGATCAGATTTATGCTTTTTATATAGATGGGTCTCCAGTCTGTGTGAACAGATTGGAGGGGGCCAGGGTGGGAGCTGAGGCCCAGGCAGAGGCTTTGCAGAGTGCCAGGAGAGGGCGCTGTAGCCCGGACTGAAGTGTGGGTGGGAAGGCGGCAGATGCATTTCTCTGCTGTTTTTCTCCCTGCTGAGCTTGGGTCCTCGTGGAGGGCGGATGGCAGACATTTCACTCTGGGACCTCATGCCTATGCATCCGAAAGACCCCCAGGCGCCTGGGTGTAAGAACCATCATCTGCCTTGGAGTAGAGTTTCTATAAATGTAACATTCACCGATGGATGGAAGACGGCCACAACTCTAAAATCACAGGGAGCTTTTCAGAAGAAAATAGAATAGCACAGCTGTTCCCATGGACAAAGCTGGCAGGTGACAGCCCCCTAACTTCTCAGCTCACACCTAACGGTGTCCGTGTCTGGTGAAAGCTGCTTCAGCAGGGACAGTCGAAGAGCAGCATGGAGTGAGCTGGCTTGTGGGGTCGTCTTTTCAGTCTCCTCCTATGGGGCCTGGGAGAAGGGAGCGGCAGATGGCCAGGTCCCCACCACAGGTCATCGAGGTCACCTCCAGGTGGCTGACGGGGGGGGGCATGTTCACATCCACTCCGAGGCACATCCCGGCTGCTGCACACCCTTCACCCCTGTGCGATGCTGGGACTGCATGCTGAGGCGCGGTGTGGGGCCTTGCTGCACTCACTGGTAGGGGAGCTCTGGGATGGTGGGTGCACCCTGGCCCTGGGCTGGAGTGACTGATCTCTTCTCTGACCAGACCTGCGACCGCATCAAGCAGTCCGCCAGCGGAACCAAGCGGCGCGTGTTCATCAAGACCATGGGCGGCTACTGTGGCTACCTGGCCAACATGGGGGGGATCGCGGCCGGAGCCGATGCCGCATACATTTTCGAAGAGCCCTTCGACATTGAGGATCTGCAGGTATGTGACGGGGCTGGCCTCAGGGGACCGTCCCCTTGGGATCCTCTCGGTGCTGCGGAGCAAATCATCGTGTCTAGGGTGGTTTGCTTTTCGAGGGGGCATGCAGACGGAGGTGCTATCGAACACGCCACGCTTGATGCCCTTTGCATCGACCAGGTGCCTCTCCCGAGTGTCAGGTGATGGCGGACGTGCCTGGTTGAGGACACCCTAGTCTCTTGTGTGAAACACAAGCTTGTTTTTTGATGTAGTCTGTTGTGTAATGTTTTCTCCCTTCTGTCACAAACGATTTGAGTGCCTCCACTGACAGTCACCACCCACGTCTGCAACTGGCTCTGGAGCTGGCTGCAGCTTCTTTTAAGTCTTGAGGCCTCTGATGCTGCATCTGCCTCTAAACTGACACAGACACGGCCGTGGTTTCTTGGCATCTGTGGCTCTTTTAGGGAAGGGTGTCGCCGACCCCGGGGTCTGCCCCTGCTTCGACGGCACAGCAGAAAATCCAGGCCTGGACCCTGCAGTGTTCAGTTGCTGAACTCCATGCAGGAGGACAGGCCTTGGCAGATAAAATGCAACTGAACAATTGTCTTTAGTTAGTTATATAAATAAATATGTTATATATTGCTCTGTCACCCAGGCTGGAGTGCAGTGGCGCAATCTTGGCTCACTGCAACCTCCGACTCCCAGGTTCAAGCCATTCTCCTGCCTCAGCCTCCCGAGTAGTTGGGATTACAGGCGCATGCCACCACGCCCACCTAATTTTTGTATTTTTAATAGAGATGGGGTTTCACCATGTTGGTCAGGCTGGTCTTGAACTCCTGACCTCGTGATCTGCCCACCTTGGCCTTCCAAAGTGCTGGGATTATAGGCGTGAGCCATCGTGCCCGGCACCATTGTCTTTTAAAAAGTTAGGATGTTACTTGTTTCTGAGCCAAATAGATCAAGTAAAAAGGGCCTTGGTGTTGTCACTAATTATGTGACATGTGAATCATGAATTTCTTCACTGTGTCAAAGTGACTACTTGTGGAGTCGTTCACTGCATTGTGATGTTTCTGTCAGCAGTGGGTCCCATAAGATGATAATGGAGCTGCCCCAAACAGGTGTACTGTTTTTTTAATCTTTTATAAAATTTATATATATATATATATATATATTTTTTTTTTTTTTTTTGAGACGAAGTCTTGCTCTGTCACCCAGGCTGGAGTGCAGTGGCCGGATCTCAGCTCACTGCAAGCTCTGCCTCCCGGGTTCACGCCATTCTTCTGCCTCAGCCTCCCGAGTAGCTGGGACTATAGGCGCCCGCCATCTCGCCCGGCTAGTTTTTTGTATTTTTTAGTAGAGATGGGGTTTTGCTCTTTTCCGCTGAGAGCGCCGAGTAGAACATTGTCATGAAAATAAATACGGGGCAATAGAGCCGTGAATGAGCGCTAGGCCAATCACGGAATTATCGTCTTCAGAGGGACCCTGTTGATTCTGGAAGGCGTTTCTAGTGGCCGCCATGAGGGCTGCTCACCGTGCCCTGTGCTCAGCATTCATTGCTGCAGACGTGCTCTCCCCGCCTGGGGGAGGCTCCCCGAGACCTGAGCCATGAGAGCTTGCAACCTCCTTGGCCACACTCACCGCCACACTTGGTTGGCACTTCCCGCCCTGCAGGGCCTGGCACACAGTGGGTGCTTAGCATAAGTTTATTGTCTGATTAACAAAATACTCTTTTCCAGTCCAATGTGGAGCACCTGACGGAGAAAATAAAGACCACCATCCATAGGGGCCTTGTGCTCAGGTGAGTGAGAGACCAGGTCTGATCTTACGGTCACTGTCACACCGCGGTTCTTAGGTTCTGGTGACTTTGGGCTGGATGAGTGGTCATTTCTTTGCCGCTGGAGTGCACTACACACTGGGCATATGCAGAAGAGAGTTGTGGTGCGTTGCTCTAAAGACTTTCTTGCATTTAGACAACTAAAACTTTTGCTTTATAGTCTTACTCTATTAGATATCTCGCAATCATTTCTCTAACACCTGATGTTTATGAAGGAAGAAGGAAATACAGTCATCCCTCTTAGCCTCAGGGAATGTGTCCCACGACTCCAGTGGGTACCTGGACCTGGGGATAGTACCCGCCCGCTGTATACATGAGGGGGTGGGTGCTGATAACCATCTGATAACCAAGGAGGCTACTGAGTGACTCAGGGGCAGGAGGCATAGACAGCATGGAGACTTTAGGGCACAGGGATGATTCACGTTCTGGGTGGGACAGCAAGACAGCACAAGATTTCATGACTCCCTGTTAGCCGGGCTTAGGTGAAATCGACATCCTGGGTCGGTTTGTTGTGTCGCATATGTTGTCACTATACAACAAAATAATCTGGAGTATACGCATACTCCCAGTTAGCTGGGAGACTTTTTTTTTTGAGACAGTCTTGCTCTGTTGCCCAGGCTGGAGTGCAGTGGTGCAATCCTGGCTCACTGCAACCTCCACCTTCCAGGTTCAAGAGATTCTCCTGCCTCAGCCTTCCGAGTAGATGGGTGTACAGGCGCCCACTACAACGCCCAACCAATTTTTGTATGTTCAGTAGAGATGGAGTTTCACCACGTTGGCCAGGCTGGTCTCAAACTCCTGACCTCAGGTGATTCGCCCACCTTAGCCTCCCAGCATGCCAGGATTACAGGCGTGATCCCCACCGTGCCCAGCCAAAACATCTAAACTTTTAAGTCATGCCAAACAGCAGCAGCTTTAGGCTTCTTTTGTTGGTGAGGTTTGAGTAATGGGGATTTTAAGGGAACTGTCAGCTTTCATGAAAACAGTGACACCCCCATCACTTGGAAATGCTTATTCAAACTAAACACGGCATCAGGTTAAAAACTGGAGCGTCCTAAGATTTAAAATGGATTATCAGACATGTAAGATACTTGACACTCACCCTCAAATCAGAATGACCTGGAATAAGCTGCATGCGGGCACACGCATGTTAAGAGTTGAGCCTGGGACACAGCGGTCCAGGATTCCTAACTCCCACACACTCCTCCTTCACCACCTCCTATTCTTTATACTTTTAAACCAGAGCCCGTGAACTTATTTCAGAGAGCTCATGAATCCCCTGAAATGATGAAATAGTAGGCGTCTGTGTGACTTTGTCAAAGAATCCACAACGGTTATCAGATTCTTAAAGCTGTGACCCATCCCCACCCCAGATGAGTTTACGAAATCTTGATTTAAGATTTTAAAATATTGGAGATGGTTAGTTGACTCGTTCCATTTATTAAAACCCTTCTCTTACTGGGCAGGGGGGAACACTTGATACTTTTGCTTAACAGGCTGAGTTCAGGCTACAGGAATCACAGATTTCGTTTTGTTCTGTTCCAGCTATCCCTAAAGACTTAGAAACAAAAACATGAATTCATTCAAAGTGTTACTGTATAACTCATATTTCATATGACTCTAACCACCAACAGGGTGGGGCACCTTCTCCATTTGATAGAAACTTTGGAACCAAAATCTCTGCCAGAGCTATGGAGTGGATCACTGCAAAACTCAAGGAGGCCCAGGGCAGAGGTAAGGGGTCCGGGGAGGGAGGCCATCTGCCTTGGTGAAAATGCTGTCCTATCGGGGAGAAGTAGGCTGCTGGTTCCTTCTTCAGTTCAGTACCGAGCTGCGTGTGATGTTCTAACTCCTGCTGGTCTCTGAGCATTGCTATTTAACCAATCTTGGATTCCTGGGTGTGCATGACATGTTCTCTTTTATCACTGCTAGATTCAACCTGAAGTTCTTTTGTGCAGGCTTTTTGCTCTGGAAATCCTGAGCATCAGCCCACAGTTTCCCTCACAGTTGAAGTGGGGCCTTCTATTTTTTGGATGTTTGGTAGGACAACCTCCTTGTGACTCCATCCATCAGAACTTCCAGTTTTGAGGAAGATTTGGCTGCTGAATGAATTGTTCGTGTTTGTAGAACTATGCATGTTTTTCCTTAAATCAGTTTTGTAACTTACATATTCTAACAATCTTTAGATAAGCTGAAAAGTTTTAGAAAACATGACACATTACTCTTGTTAATGGTTCCAACATGGCTGGTCCCTACTCATTCCTGAGTGGTTATTTGTGCCAGCATCTTTCTCACCCCCACCCCCCTCAGCTTTCTTCAGTCATACCAGACGTGTGCTTTTATTAGGGCAAACCATTATCACTGCCAATGTCCGAGTTAGAAGAATGACAGTCTACAAAAAACAGTGATGTGAATAGTTTCAATCGGTTTGTCTTTTTGAAGAACTGACTGATTCTTTCTACATCCATTTTCTCTTGCTAATTTAGCTACGGATGCTTCTCATGCCTCAGTGTGTGTATATGTGAGCATCAATTTCTTATTAGTGTTTTGCCATAATTTAAGGTAATTTCCTTATTCCACTATTTAGTGAAAAATTCTCTCCACTGAGAGAAAAAACAAAAGCTGCTTTCCAGGAAGCCATCAGGGTGATCCCACAAGAGCAGAGCTGTGCAAGCCCAGGCCGGGCGCTGGCCACACTGCACAGCTGTTCTCAGCCTCCCCCAGGCTTCCAGGCCAGGTTCAGCACAGTGCCCAGGAATCTCACCCCGTGATTCTGCTCCCCCAGCTGCCCATGGGACAGGGCAGTGTTAATCTGTTTTTAAACCTTTTATAGGAAAAACATTGACCACCGATGATCCCGTTTGTGTGCTGGGAATCAGCAAAAGAAATGTTATTTTTCAACCTGTGGCAGAGCTGAAGAACCAAATGGATTTTGAGTAAGTCGGGGTCTTATTGCCTTAGCAAACCCAGCCAATGTGAGTACAGGACAGGGGAATGGCCATTACTGTTGCGTTCGGCAACTCATTCAGGGGTTTGAGGAACTAGCTTTTCTGAAGCTCAGTTAAAAAATACTAGGTCTTGGCCAGGCACGGTGGCTCATGCCTAAGATCCCAGCACTTTGGGAGGCCTAGGTGGGTGGATCACTAGGTCAAGAGATTGAGACCAGCCTGGCCCACATGGTGAAACCCCGTCTCTACTAAAAATACAAAAAGTAGCCGGGCGTGGTGGCGCACACCTGGAGTCCCAGCTACTCAGGAAGCTGAGGCAGGAGAAACTGCTTGAACCTGGGAGGCAGAGGTTGCAGTGAGCTGAGATTGCACCACTGCTCTACAGCCTGGTGACAGAGCAACAAACTACCACTAGGTCTTTGGGAAGAATTTTTAGAAATATAAAAACAATGGTTTTGTTTGATCTTGAAATTGGCTTTATCATCTAGTTGATTCAGCCGACCCTACAACCCCCGTGTTTCTGGCAAGACCACTTGCTGTGCTGGCCGTGGCATCTCCCAGCCTCACTGCTGTCCCCCCTTCCCTCCACAGGCACAGGATTCCCAAAGAACGGTGGTGGCTCAAGCTGCGGCCCCTCATGAAGATCCTGGCCAAGTACAAGGCCAGCTACAACGTGTGAGACTCAGGCCGGCTAGAGCACGTGCAGCCCTGGAGCCTCTGATCCAGTCCCACCTGCACGTGCCTGCAACCTGGACTCACCGTGGACCATCTGTTTTTGTAATACTTAAGTTTTGATCAGCACTTTATGCAGGTATTGACATTAAAACCTAATCAGTGAGCACCTGTCACCGCCCGTGTGCCCCACCAGCTCCAGTGCGTGCTGTCTGTGGACTGTCTCATGCTTTCAGATGTGCGTATTAAACATTTGCCTACAACTCCAAGTAGGGTGGCTACTAAGGGTTTTCTCAGCAGTTTTGTGGGCAAAGATTATCAAAATATTTTTATAGGGATCACTGAACTATGCGCAAGTCATAAAAGGAGAACAAAGCTAGTAGTTTACACAGGCCAAGGGGAATGCCATGTTTACTTACTGTTACATATTTGTCACGTGTCAGTTTCCATCCAGAGCAGCAGGCCAGGACCCTGGGCCTGGACCCCAGGCTCCTGCTCTCCTTAGAAAGTAAAAGAGAACACATGAATCTTATCTACTCGGCCTCTTGATTGCAATCCTAGCTGCATGTTAAAACCACCACGGTGGGGGTTTGAAAAATCTGATAGCCAGCTTCTCGTCCAGTCCAAGCCACGGTCCTCACTGGGCCCTAATTTGGAACTCTCCAATGACTCTTGCCAGAGTAGACATGGGTGCTGGGGTGACAGCCCTGCCACCCTCGTGGGCCCCCCTCCTGTAGGGACAGTGTTTCTGCCTCAGTTCTAGACTGCAAGAGACCACAGCTGTACCTCAGAAACGTGGGCGGAGAGCTGTATGGAGGGAGAGGAGACACCAAAAACCAGCTGTTTGGGAAATCGGAGTCCAACGGCCAAGAGCTGGCGTGGAGGCTTTCCTTTCTGGCTCTGTAAAGACGAAGCGAGCACTTACTCACCCCAGCCCATCTGCTTCTCAGGGACTGCTTCCATTCGGCCGCCCTGTTGAACTTCCGTCTGTTAGGAGGATGCTCCCACAGGGCCTCGGTGTGATCAGTTTCATGAATCAGCACAGGCGGAGGTGGGACACCTTTGTGTGCCTTTTCATTCTACTTCTGCTTTTTAATAAAGGCCCTAAATGCTACTTAAAATAATGACTCAAGCAGAGGTTAAGTCAGAGTTGCCCTTTTAGATTCTTAAATATTCTAGAACTAATGAGGTAAAACTAGCCTTTGTCAGTAGAAAGTAAATTCTATGTGGTGCATCTTTGGCACTTTGTGCATAACTATTTCAATGAATGTCTTCCTGGTTGCTCTTAAGACTGACTTGCCAGTCAGTGGCAAAACCTTAAGAATGACATAATGTTCTTGGAAAAAGCAGTAGCATTTCTGACTTTTCATATTCAGCTCTAGAGGCCGATTTTCTCAGGGGCTCCTGCACAGTCGGGTGTGCCAGGGCCACTCATTTGATGATCCAGGATGGGTCCTTGGCGATTTTGGGGTTCTCGGGTCCGAGTATGGCCAGGCCGTGCATGCTCTTCCCAGTGCCGAGAACCCGAGGGGAAGGCAGGTGAGGTCAGCGAGGACTGGCTTCTGCGTCAGTGCCGTTAAGGCCTCCATTCCCAGACACCGTCTCCCCCGCTCCCCACTCACCTATAGCTGACAGTGAAGAGCTGCTCCCTGTGGGCCTGCTTCATCTCATCTGAGAGGCCGTACAAGAAGAGGTCCATTCCTAGAAGACAAACTACAGGCACAGTGGGCTGTGCATTTGTGTCCCGGAGTGAGGCACCCCCTGCGAGGTGGGGAGTAATAGCCACCCCCCTCCCCCCGCCTTGGCTATTAGGAGCCATGGTGGACTCACAGCCTGTTTAGGATATTGTGAGTAGTATCATCTGCCCCTCTGGAAATAATGAACTGAATGGGAAACATCCAGGCCCCGAGACCCACTCAGGAGCAGAAAACGGGGAAGGAGCCTCGAACAGACCCTCGGGAGGGCAGTCAGCAGGAGCCATGGAGGCCACCAGGAGGGAGGAAGGAAGGCAGGCAGGGAGGCCAGAGGTGACGTGGTGGGGAGAGGAGACGTGGCCAGAGGCAACGTGGCCAGGGAAGGAGATACAGCTGGAAGGAAGTGACAAGAGGGGTCTCCAGGCCTCAGACTGTGCCTGATGTATGGATGACATTTTAACTAAGATGTTATATCTAAAGTAGCAATTTAGAACCATTGTGTACATTTAAAGCACGGTACAAATATAGCACATTTCCCAAAGAACAGTGCGTTGAAGGAAGAAATAGCAGCTCACCAATAAAATAAAAGTGAGTCAAGAAAAAATTCATTTAAGATCAGAAATAGATCCTACAGCTCTTCTAGTCCAATCCCCACCCTAACATGAATGGGGGGAAAAGGGAAGTAGATTCTAGTCAGTCAGAATTAAAGGCAAAACTGATCCACTTTACTTTCTACTTGACAGAAAACAAGCAGCTCATCAAGGAATCCCTACGAACAGTAGCTTTAGGAGTCCCCAAAATGCAAAATTCACCTTCAAATTAAATCAACTGCTAAGTGTGTATAAAGTTATTGTTTTCATTATTGTCCTCCTCATTCCCAGGGCCTTTTTTAGAGCTTGTTTCCCCCTAATTGCCTCCAACACACCCAGGAAATTTAAACCCCACAAGTAAACCGTGTCTCGATTAACACACAGCGTCCTTTAGGAGCAGACAGTCCGTTGCTCTAAGACGTTCTTGTCACCTAAGCACTGAGTACAGCCTGAGAACGCACAACATGCACACACACGAACTCGGACAAACAGGTGAGATGTGGCACATGAGGAAGACGAGAAAAATGAACTTCACTGACACCCCAGATCCATGAAGAAGTGACACACGCAGCCTGCTCGGGTGCCAGTGACTCCTCGAAAACAGCCAAGGGCAGCATTTGGAGAAGCAGCACCGCAGGCCAGGAGGGTCTGGGGACTTCAGAGGGGAGGGGTGCCCCCGACCAGGTGCTGGGGGCTTCAGGAGGGAGGGGCGCCCCAATCAGGTGCCGGGGCTTCAGACGGGAAGGCGCCCTGACCAGGTCCTGGGGGTGGCAGGACAAGCCCTGGGTCCCCTCGTCACTTTTCACTCCCTACTCCCGAATCTCGCCCTGAAGTTGCAGCAAGTCCAGGTATTCATTTACCCATAAAATTAAGTATCTGTGAGTAACACAAGTCACTAATCCACAGATATCTGAGTCCACAGATATCTCCCAGAGATGCCACCATCCATTCTGGTAGAAGAGCAGCCCAGGGGCCCACGCTGCTAGGAAGGGAGACTGTCTCCAGCCTGACGCTGCAGAATTCTCAACACAAAGTCTACCTTCTGGAACCATGCATCTCCTACAGAAGCAACTAACGGCATACAGGGTTTTTTAAAATCTGTTTTTTCTTAAGACAGTCTCACTCTGTCACCCAGGCTGGAGTGCAGTGGCACAATCTCAGCTCGTTGCAACCTCTGCCTCTGGAGTTCAAGTGATTCTCCTGCCTCGGCCTCCCGAGTAGCTGGGATTACAGGTGCCTGTCACCAGGTCCGGCTCACTTTTTGTATTTTCAGTAGAGACAGGATTTCACCCTGTTGGCCAGGCTGGTCTTGAATGCCTGACCTCATGTGATCCACACGCCTCGACCTCCCAAACTGCTGGGAATACAGGCATGAGCCACGGTGCTTGGCCCATATAGCTGTTTAAATTTGACTAAAACTAAATGCAATTAGAAGTTCAGTTTCTCATTTGCACTTCAAGCATTCAGTTACCCACAGGCAGCCACGGACCAGAGGCTGGTGGAGATGTCACACTCCACACTGCAGAAGGATCTACGGACGAAGTGGCTCTAAGATCATCTCGACATCTTTATATCGAAGCTACTGAAGTTTTACTCTGCTTATCATAGACATCAGCATTCTCTCATTTAAAAATGTCAGTGCTATTGCAATGATCAGATCAGTGACTTCCCAGCACCTCTTCTCTTCCTGTACAGATAACTGCAGAGCATCTGCACTCTGCCTCCACACTAAGGGACAGCAGAAGCCTCCGTGTAAAATCGGGGAGAAAAAAAAAATGAATCCCTAGTCCCTCTCTCCCTACAATTTTGTGAAGCGTCTCTTAATATTCAGAATAACTGCCGGAGTTACAATAAACAAACATCCCTTGACCAGGAAGCAACAGGGAAGCAAGAAAAGGAAGATGCGAGGACCCTCCATTCCCTCTGGGACCCCAGGCCCAGCCAGGACTGAGAAGGGCAGCACAGCCCGGCAGACCTGCACACCTGATGCAAACCATGCACATGGCTTCCCTGGGAAGCCCTCACTGGCCGCTGTGGCTCTGGTAGAGGGAGCTCCCTGAACCCCAACACCCACAGTCAGTTTCCTCCTTGCAGGTCTCAGCTCTGCTGTGACTGCCTGAAGTGCCTCCCTGATGCTTCTCATCATCCGGGTATGGTGCCCCCTCTATCCCATAGCCCTTGCTACCACCCACCCCACCACGAAGCCTGGCACAGAGCAGGTGCCTGAGATGCCCCAATGGGTGGGCATGCCAGGGTAGGGCTTGGAGTTCCAAGGGCCACGTCCCGCATACCACCACAAGCACCGCGGAGGCTGTGGAAGGGGTCCAGGCTTCAGGCCTGCACTCAGCTTCTCCCGCCCCCGAGGCCAAGAACCTAGCAAGGGAAGGCAGCCGGAAGCAGGATTCCAAACCCCCTTCTTGCTCCTCAAGAGGAAAGGGGCCTCAGGGCAAAACCCCACAAGTGCCTTCCTCCTGCCATGCTGCCTGTCATAGCACAGACACTGTCACAGCAGGGAAACCACTCCTGTGAGGAGAAAACCAAGTACCACAGGAGCCACGTCCACTGGCAGCGTCTGCTGAGCCCAATTAGTGACAACAGCAGCCGGGCCCCCACGCAGCATGCACTGACTCTGACCCGCCTCGCACACCACAAGGTCCTGAAGCTCAGCTTCGACTCATCAGGGGCCTCTTCCAGGAGAGCTCGGCATGTCTACCTTCCCTGGGCTCACAGAAAGCTGAGGGACTCAGTCCCGAGTGTGAACAGAGTCAAGCTCCCACTAGCTGTGCAGACAACCTCCCCAGCCCTGGCCTGGGAAGGGGCCAAGCAGAAACAGCCATCTTTTGCCCGCACAGGTACAGAATTCAGCCAGCTCTCTCAATGGAGTCATGACAGGTCAACTCCAGGCTCCTCAGGGCTCTGGGGTTCACCTCGGGCCACTGCACCTTTGAAATGTGGCTGCAGACTCCTCTAGGCTGCTCGGTGTCACAGCCCATTTCATTCAGACACTGCAGGCCCCAACCCGTGGTGTCACTACCCAGGACACCCCTGCCGGCATCCTCCGAGATGCTGCTGCAGCTGCTGTGATCTGAGAACAGCCACGTGCAGGCATCAAAGGGAGGGCTTCTCAAGTCTCCTCCGAGAGCAGTGGCTACAGCTTCGGAAGACGTTGCACTGAATCCTCGGTGAGCCTGGCTCGGTCTGCAATCTAAGCCGGGTTGCTGGGGAGACTCACTCTGTTGTAACTGATGGAGGCTGTTGGTGGCAGCTCTACGAAGACCAAGGATGGCAACTAATCTGAGATTTACTATCCATACTTTCTATCTGATGTTTAAAAGGAAAGCATCGTGAAAGTTCCAGTAGCAAGAAATTTTCTATAATCTATCACATCAAGATACAGCAGAAATATAGCTAAAAAGTTAATAGGGTCTATGCAGAAGAACAGATGAGTCTATTTCAGGAAAAGTGCTTGCTGGCTTTTTTAGAAACAGAGTGAAGTCCCTGCCAAGTAAAAGGTTGTTTATACTTTTGCTTTGGAAACAGAGGGAAAGTTCTTCCTTATTATTGAATACATTAAATATATTTAAGTGTTCTGGTAGACTAAGTATTCAATATTCAAAAATAAGTAATTGTTTGGTCTATTTCATTCCTTAAATGTAGCTTTCAAAAACTGACAAACACCTGGCCGGGTACGGTGGCTCACGCCTGTAATCCCAGCACTTTGGGAGGCCGAGGTGGGCAGATCACGAGGTCAGGAGATTGAGACCATCCTGGCCAACATGGTGAAACCCCGTCTCTACTAAAAGCACAAAAAGTTAGCCGGGCATGGTGGCGGGCACCTGTAGTCCCAGCTACTCAGGAGGCTGAGGCAGGAGAGTGGCGTGAACCCGGGAGGTGGAGGTTGCAGTGAGTGGAGACAGCACTACTGCATTCCAGCCTGGGCGACAGAGGAACACTCCGTCTCAAAAAAAAAAAAAAAAAAAAAAAAAAAAAAAAAGGTGGCAAACACCCCATGTCTGCCCTGGCTTCAGCCATCTCCACGGAGTGCACAGAGCCTGGGAAAAGCTCACTGTGGAGGCCCAGAAGTCCATGCCTGGCCTTTGCCCAGCAGATGAGCGAGAGGATCAGCCACCCTAGGGAAGAAGCCCAATATTTGCTATGTTACTGACAATATCCACATACGTTTCTATTTTGCCTCCCACACAGACCTGGGATCCGTGTTTGAGCAAGCGGCTCATGCCAACACCCCCTCCATGCCATCGTTTCCCTGACCTCCTCAAGAAGAGCTAGGCCAGGCAGCGTCCCTACACAGGCGCTGGGGCCCAGGAAGAGTCGGGTCCTGCCCCCTTCTCCCTCGTCCCTGCACTTGGCTTGCTGTGGAAGCCCAGCAGTGCAGGCTGAACCTACGTTCACCTGGGGCATTCAGGAGAAGCCTCTGCAGAAATCACCTGGGAAGCAGGGCTGTGTGTGCTGGCAGGTCACTTGAATGGATTAGCGGAACTGAGTTTTCAACACAAGTGCCGCCAACCAAGTCCCTCACGCCCTTCGTGAGCCTAGAGCCACAGAGCCATTTGCTGCACTCTATCTCTAACCACCCTGCACAGAAGCCCAGTTTATCCAAAGGACCATAAAATTGTGTGTGTAAACACTTGAAGTTTGGCATAATGAATTAAAAGTGAAGTCACCACATCTATTTGCCATTAATCCATGCATTCAAACAAGTGTCTCTTGAATATGTGCATTGAATACTGTGGAATTAGGATTTAGCCCATGCCTTCAAGAAATATACATCACAGAAGAAAAGGTATAGCTTGTAACTGTAACGGTGGTAAAGAGGCAAGAAATAAACATGATAGAAGAAAAGATATAGCTCGTAACTGTAACAGTGGTGAACAGGACAGAATTTCACAGGCTCATCAGGAACCACCAAGGAGGAAGCGATGATTCATTTCCACCTGCAGTAGATAAATGTTTCCTGGAGAAAGTAACTTTTCTACAGTGATATCTGCTCCTTATTGTTTAGATCTTGCTTGATAGGGTATTAAAATTGTCACTTTCTATGTGCTGCTTATATAAAATACTTCATTGTCAAGGGAAGTTATAAGTTATAAAATAACTTAAATACTTCACACATAAGCTTGGGCTGTAAATGGTGGAAGGGAGTGTGATGATGTGTTCCCTGTTCTTGAGACACAGAAGGGGCAAGACCCTGGTTCCCTTCTCCTCCCCACCGCCCTGTTCCCAGAGGCAAGGCCGCCATGCAGTCCTAGAGCTGGCTCCAGGGCCAGGACACCATGCCCAGAGTCTCTGCGCCCCATGCGAGAAATACAGCCTGGGGGGCAATCACCGAGTTACCTGGCGGTGGGGAGAGTCCTTCATCAAAAACTTGTGCTTCCAGGAGCCAGGACAAAGCAGGAGCCCCCAGGAAACTGTTCCAGGTGCTCCTGAAACCTGGGCACAGAGTCACAGCCTGGCAGGAAGCATCAGTGATGCAGGTGTGCCCAAGACTGGGAGGATGGCCAGACGCTTGGAGGCCAGACTGTCCTGAAGGAGGTGACCACTTCGCTCTCCGGTTCGTTAGAGACAGAGTCTGGGCTCCAATTTTGTATCTGGAGTCTCACAGTACAGAAATATCACAAAGGGATTAGACTTCGTATACTTACCCCAATGTTTTTTCAGTTAAAAAAAATTGTGTTTCTTGTGACTAATTCTAAATCCAACAAAGAAAAATAATTAAGTGTAAAAATGCATGCCTGCAAAATGTCAACCATAATCTCTTTACCCATAGGAGACCCAAAATTTAGTCTACGTTTTCTTCAGTATTATCTGATTTCTTTTTTAAGCCATTACTGAGGTGTCTCCTCACTGCCCCATGAGGAGATTCATGGGCTCTTCCAGGCTCTTTGCTGTTTTATCGTTTTTTAGGTTTAAGGGCAGGATCATTTTCCCACACTTCTTTGCTTCCTTGATCACCAATTTTTCACAAGGACGCCATTGTGCATTGGAAAACCTAGCAAGTGAACTTCATTAAAAGTGAAAACAATAAGGACATGTTGGCTGCTATGACAGCATCCTCAGTCACCGAATCTCCCTGGGGGACCACACCCCAATCTCCTTGTAACCCCAGCATGCAGGTATCACTGTGGCTGACAGG